GGTTAGAACATTCTTTTTTGTATTTTCTACATCCATATCTTTAACTTAAACAAAACATTCATTTTTTGCATCCATAATTTTTTTTAATACATTAACATTTTTTCAATAAACCATAATACAATAATAAGTGATGATTTCTTCAAACAAAACATTAATGATAGCAGCAATTACCATATTTATTTCTCATTTTGATATGCAGTGATGACCATCTTCTTAAAAGACATTTTAAACTGTTTTATATTTGGGCATTGCTTGATTTCCATACATAAACCATTCCACAGCTTCACCCCATGTACTGACATACAAAAACTTTTCCTTGTGGTTCCATATTTTAAAATTTTGATTTCACATTGTTCCCTTTAATTATTATTTAATTGTGCATAACGCACAAAAATAAAAACCTTGACAATTATACAGTAATATGCAGCAGGATTATCAAAACAAGAATCAAGAAAATTGTCAATGTGTATTCCGAGGATGTGATAATCAAAAGTGCTGGAAAATAAAGCAACCAAACTTTTACGATTGGTCCATCTACATTTTTTTTAGTAAACAACTAAATGTGGATTGACTTATGTATCATTTAATTTGCTGAGCTTCAAGTGAAGTAATTGGACTTCAAAAAAATGCAAGCATTTGTTTTATGACAACAAAAATATGCAGAGCCCTTTTCAAACACTATTTTTGTAGTCTCTTCTTACTTAACCTTTCTTCTGATTATGTTCTCAGTGGTTTGACACAACTGATTATAATCCATACTTTGAGTTCTGCAAAAACAAGTATTATTGAAAATATGCCCTCCTTTAATGATGCTTTTTTGTTCCATTGTCTGTGTGTGTGTGTGTGTGTGTGTGTGTGTGTGTGTGTGTGTGTGTGTGTGTGTGTGTGTGTGTGTTTGCATAGTTAACTGCATGTATGAGAGACCAAAAGGATAGAAAAAGGCTATTGAGAGATGAACCATAAGCATTTGCATCTCAGGAAATGTGTCAGCCATACGGGACAGTCCCTACACCCTGAGCTTTAGAACGTTTTGACCCTGTTTTATACACACGTAGTACACTCAAAAAACTGTTGAGAAACTTTAACAAATTGAACGGCCCTTTCGGTCATGTGATGCAGTGGTTTGTCTCAAGCTTGAAAATGGAAAGATTACAACAAAAACTCTGTAGGCTCCATTTTATTATCATTACTGTTTTTTCCATCGTGCTACTCGATGTTGTTATTGGTTTCCTTTTTCCAGTAATGTTGCATAAGGTTTTCCAATATTCATAATGGTGTGTTTTTCCATCTTTCACAGATCAAGACTTCATAGGCTTTTTGGATGAAAAAAAATTATCAATACAAGATGATGCATCAGAAGAAAAAAAAAACTGTGACACATTGCCAACATTGTTCCTGTTGCCAGCATCAATAATTCAGCCTCTAGCTCATAACTTTATTTTTGATGCATAAATGAGGCCAACCAATGATGGGTGTTCTTTCTTTCTTAAGCCATCTATATGTCAAATGATTTTTAAGTAATAAGCAGATCAGTCCATTAAGTTTTTAACGTCTTTGTTTTTGTTGTTCTCATTCAAAAAGATGTTGGAAAGTATAGACAAAGTCTGACCTGTTTTGCTCTCTGAGCTTCGTGTATGATGATGTGAGCGGTGGATTTTTTTTTTTTTTTGAGTGACATTTTCTTTGTAGTTGTAGCTATTGTGAGTATGAAAATCCTAAGATGATAATTGTGGGGAAGCTGTGGTGAGCAAAGGAAGAAGTGTAGACTCCACATTTGAAATCTGTGGTTTGGAAAGGAAGGGGGTCTCAGCTGGGGGTGTAATTTTAGCATATAGATTCCTAAATTTACATTGTGTGTGACTTTGGTCAAGGTTGTATAGTATATATATATATATATGTATATATATACATGCAAATGTTCAAGTAACTAAAATAGAGAGGTTGTGAAGGGTTAAGGTCTCAACAGTGTCAGTGGTCATCGGAGTACTCAGGCCTCAAACAAATCCCAAAAACAAACTCACAGATCTCTGTACAGAAAAGTGCAATCTTAGGAACACCTGAGTAACTATTCAGAACCCTCAAGCTTCTAGATCTTTGAAAGGAAACAGAACCATCCATGTAAAGTAGTCTCAGAGAAATGATAAATATCTGATTTTGTGCCTCAAAAGGTTGTCTATACAAATACTTTACTGTATTGCATAAAACTACATAAAAGAGCCTTCCCTCTATCTGGTGACACATTATTTGACCTGACTGCATGTCTCATTATTTGTACTGCTGCTTAATAAATATTGATTTACTATTTTAATTACATTTTAATCTCAAAACACAGAGGTGCCAGAGTTATGACTTTCTCAAGTTGCACGGCAAATTTCCTGTATTTATTGAGAAAGAGATCCTGGGAGGGTCAAAAAAAAGCAAATTGAGATCATTAATGAGAGTACTGTGCCCTACAAAGTCTGCACAAGTGACAAAATCAGAATACACAGGTTGACTCAGCTTTCAATCAGTTGCTTTTTTTTGTAAACTGTATTTCCCTTTTGTTGTTGTTAATAACCACGTTTTCTTTTTTCATACTTGTTTTACTACATGTTGTGTGTTTTTCCAACGAAAACAAACTTTCAATAATTTGATAAGTCATAAAAAAATTTCCATCATCCTGAATACAAAAGATTTAGAATATTTTAAAATTTACTGTAAAAATGTATATAACACATTAAAAACCACAAAAATTCCAGGTAAAAATTCAAATAAAATACAACAATATCTTAATGGTTCAGTGTATCTTTTGGTCATTGGAGTTTCATTTTCGAAACGGGTATTAAAAAACAAACGATTGGATATTTGGTTTTTGTTTTAAAATACTGAAATTAAAATTAAACTAAAAAGCGTTTCTCGTTCTTAGTGTCAAAAAGGGATGAACACATTTTTTTAAATGATTTGAGTTTCATTTTCTGATTCAGATAACAAAAAGAAAATTACTTTAAGACAGAAATGAAAAAAGGCTTGTTTGTTCATAATCCATGACASGTCGTGCCAACTTCCTGTCTCCCTACAATAATCTGTTTCACCACCAGAAGGGTTGTCTGCAATATCAAAGTTACTCAATAAACATCCCATTACAAGTAAAACGCATTGATACTGGCATCGGTGTCAAATAAATTTGCAAGTATTTATTTGGAATCAGATCGATATCAAAGTCGTAGTACCGCCCATCCTTCGATGAAAGGAAAACTCCGAGGATGCGAACTGACAGAAAATAGCACAGATTTTGTCAAAACTCAGGAGGAAATAAACCTATGAGCTCACAGAACAACAATCGTCCAACACACTAATAGAATGAAATTTATCTTAATTTGCTTTTCATTGAGAGAGATGGAGATGAAACATGGAGGCAGTAGCTGACATGTACTCAGTAAAAGAGACTTATTTGGCCAAAAACCACATGAATTATCTCTGCAGAGCCTTTGGTCACTGAGCAACAGTCATCATACAACTCATTTATGGACATACTTCTCTGTGTTTCAGCCTTTTATTTAAATCAGTGTTTCATTATGCAGAGCTGTCAGGTGAGCGCCCCCTTCTGGTGGGGGAATAGATAGTCGTAGAAAAC